TTTTTTTTTTTTTTTTTTTTTTTTTTTTTCTGTTCCCTTGTAACAGTTTCATTTTCATCTTGTCTTAGATTTAGGCTTGATGAAAATTATTGATGGGGAACTGAATCATTCTTCTTCACAGCACATAAAATACAGCAAAAAAAAACATTTTTTAAAAACAACAGTGAAACATGCTATACAACATCTAGAAAAATGTAAGTAAAAATTTAAGATTGCCAAAAAATGTAGCGAAAAATAGAATGAATGGAAAAGCGGCTTCCCAAACAAATCACAACTGTTGGAAAAAAGATTCAGCCTACATAAAGAGTCTCTTTAGTTGACCGGGTAAATTGGATGGAGCATATGATAGTGGCCTGGTCATATTAGATCTGCTCAAAAATGCCTCGTTTTCTGAGTTGAATGCCAATATATTCCTACAATGCTTCTTAAATATAACCGAATCACTCTCTTAAACGCTATGGGAATTTAAAGCTCATCCAGTTGGAAAGTTCAATGAAACACAAAGCCTTACGACTCTATTTTCAATAGAATAATACAACTACAACATTTTACCAACTGATATTTCTCAGCCAAACGTTCCGAACAGGAAAAAAAAAAGCAGTTCTTTTCGAGATGCACTATGAAAACAATATGAAAAGAGCCCTTCCTGGATAACCCCGAAATATTTGTTAAACGATATGTACTTTATATAACATCAGCAGCGAACGTCGAAAGAATGGTGTACAAAACTAAAAAGCATAAGAGTCGCTTTCGTTTGATAGAGATTGAAATTGACTACATGACATTTGACTATTTACCTCATAAAACTATTAATAATAGTAGTAATAAAATTGTCAAATAAATTTTATACAAACATTCATTAATTTCCTCCCCTACATTAAAAGTTACTATTAGAAATCAACATTTAAATTGTTAAACTGAGACTGCAATTAATTTCTTATATTTCACCTCATTTTCTTTCTCAACTCGACTTATTTAAAATTAAAAAAATTTAAATAATTAGTCAGAAACGACAACATAAAAGGTCATAAATTTCCAACAGCAACGATAGAAGTGGAGCTACTCATCACTAAAAAAGCTTAGAAAAAAAAAGACGTTTCTTTTTATCACCGGCACTTAACAAGAAAACAAAAGAGACCACTCAGTTGGCAACAAATTTTCCTCGACGTCTAGTAATCTATCGTGATGACTAGGACAAAAAACCCTCTGTTCTTGAAAACTTCTCCACCCAATTCATTTCACGGTTACCAAAGAAAGAAAAGCTTGAACGTAAAGACTACCTTAATAACAATTTTCCTTAAAAGACAAAAATTAACAGTAAAAATCACCTATCACTCATTTTGATCTTCAATCCTTCTCTAAACCCCAAAACTTCAATTATCACCCTAAAAAACTGATAACCTCCACTCCTTCGATTCACTATATATAATTATATAAATTCTAATCATTTATTTCAACCGTCTTCAAATAAGCACTTCCCTCCAACGCCACTGCGAAAGTAGCTGAACTGCCAGAAAAGCAACAATAATCCTATTCTCTTATCATGAACTTAACTGGCAAAACTAGCTAAGATGCCCTGCAGGCTAGTTATTTGTTATAGAAGAGAACAGAAAAAAGTTGACATAAACCAGAAAGATAATGAAACAGAAAAAAAAAAGAAAAAAACTGACTTGCAAAATCAGTTACCCAAACACTTCGTCGAGAAACCACTGTACAAAGAGATAACCCTAAAAGGAAAGGATT